GCGCGTTGAGGTAATCGGTGTTCAGGCACGTAGCCCAACCATCTCATTCGATGAAGATGAGTGGATATCAAATAAATACATAAATATATAACTAGAAATATGAAACAGAAAACACCAGAAAAAAATACTTTGTCATTCATTTTTGAAATAAAAATGTATTATGGATTATTAATGCGAATGACAATGAAATAAACTTTTCTAAACTTAAATAAGCAATCAGTTTTCAGGATTGAGCTTTAAAACAAATTTTAATTATTTCTCATGGTATCTTTACATAGACTAATGGAAAATTCAGTTATTGTAAAATATAAACCTTATTAAACTCTTTGTAAGTATACTTTTACACATTTCATTCAAATATAGAATACAAAATTATTGGATATAATTAACAAGACTGCATGTCGAATAAATATCATTGGGAATTATTATAGAATTGAAAAATGAGAATATTTGTCTTCTACAATATCTAATGGTTTTCTAAGTTGATATTATTTCAGTAGATGATCAATTAAAAATTAATTATAACCACAAAGGTATTACAACCCAACTTGAGAATTCTTACCCTATTAACAATCAATTCCATATTATTTGAAGTATCATTAAAGTTCCATGTTCAGTAGGTTGAAAATACCACTTTCAAACTAATTGAAACACTTATAATTACATTATCGAAATAAACAATGAGACCAAAATTAATATTCTACTTAATATAATTGAATAAACATTTATTTGGCTAAGAAAAATTTCAAATATTAATTAAAATTAGATTTTTTTCTTCTAATGTAACATTGTATATGCGATATCTAAACTGAACGTTTGTAGATACTACTGCATAATAATAATGCTTACGGACCTACTTTACATCACGTATGTTTCATATTAAATATTGTACAAAGTAATACTGAGTATTTTATCAATGCCTTATCGGTAGTTGTGACTAAGGAACAATATATAACAAATACTTAGTATGAAAAACTTTGTAGAAATTTGTACATCTAAGTTTCAAGGTAATAAACACTTGTCTACATACGTTATAAGCAAACATGGATAGTGGTTAGCAGTGGAATCCAGGATGTGCGTTTCGTCCTATTTGTGACTGGTCAGCTGCATGTAGCTGCATCTCAGAGTTGATGTTCACTCTGTGACTCAAACCCAATACCGTTCGCTTCAAACGCCATCGCGTTATCCACTCAGCTACTGAGTGCTGATAGTCACTTGCTTGTGCAATGGGGTGAAGAGTGAATTCACATGGTATTGTTTGTTTGAATCTCCCCATCGATGTGTTAGGACTGCAATTGGTCTGTCTATTATTGGTTATATGTGCATACTATGCGTATTGCGTAATTCACAAGCATTATAAGCAAAGGTGGATTAAAGCTATATCGAGGCAATACGCATAGTATGCACATATAGCCAATAAGAGACTGACTATTCGCAGTCCTAAACATTAATGGGAAGATTCAAACAAATAATACTAAGTGAACTTGTCTACAAACTTTATCTGAAACTATAAGCCATCGGGTTCTTCTCAAAATGAAAAAAAATTCAAATTTATATTACAACGTAAAGTATATATTTCAACTTTCAATCTAATATATTGAATTCAATTAGTTACCATTATATATATATATATATATATATATATATATATATATATATAAACAAGTAAATTATGTGGATTATTTTATTTTTTATTTATTTAAACATATAAATATTGGTACAAGGAGGCACCAGACATATGTGCGCCATACAGATCAAATGAGATTTGTTTGAGGGCTGTGATACTGACCAGGTGTCCAAACTGAAGCAGGTAGTTTCCTTAGGGGGCCACACCCGGAGCCTTTGACTAAAGATCTGATCCACAAAGCAGTGAAGCATCGTAAAGTTATGCAGTCCTATGGTAACCGGTGACCAACGATTGATTCATACTTCATTTGTTCCTTCAGGATACTGGAGCCCATGTGCACCATTGCTTTGGAATCAGGGTTTTCCAACTATCCTAGGTGGACCCTCCGTGTCCACCAACCAGGTTTAAGTGTCGGACATTCGCTTTTCATCCTGTCAATTTCGTAAGCAACACGCTGGCTACAAGAAGTCAGTGAGTTGGACTTCCTTGGTAGAGGCTTTATACGCGTAGCCGTGTGAGAGTAATTCGAGAGCTAGCCCTCCCCACTCTCGGCCGTACCAGATTATTTATAATATAAAATTATATCACTTATTTCTTAGAATGAAATAACATTCTTTTTTTCTTTTTTTAAATACAGGATCTTATTCAAAACAATCTAATTCATAAGTTGTTATTGTTGTTGTGTTCTTTTTTATAAAAAAATCATGCAACCATCATGCATGATAGAAATTCAACCTTCTACACCAATCAATAAAAATAATCAATCAACTGATTTCATTATTGATTATTCAGAAAATTCTATAATCAATAATAATGATCAATTTAATAATAATGATAATAATAATTCATCTATTGAATCAATTAATAATTATTTAAAAATTAAATCATCGAATTCAATCAATAATAATAATAATAATAGTAATATATCAATTAATCAATCAATTAAATTATCAAATAATAATAAAAATTTTAATAAAAATATTCAATCCAATCATATGACATCATCATGGAGAACACATAAATATGGTAAATATTGTTGGAAAAGTTGGATTACATTTGTACATTTAATTATAGCATTTAGAGCTATTATAGTACGTATTGGTTTTATATGTTTTACATGTACAGCTATTGTAAGTGTTGTAAAAGAGAAACAAGATGGAAGATTTTGGTTATTAATATTAACAATTATACCATTATTAATTGATTTAATTATAGCAATTAATGCATATGTATCTGGAAAATCTGTAACACCAACAATATCTAAATGGTAAGTTATACACTTTATATGTATGTGCATGTATACAATTGAACAATATAGAGTACTTTTAGAAAATAATGTTAGTCTTATAAAGGGTCAGATAAAAACAATACGTAGTTCCATCTTGGCATATCTAATTGATAGTGGTCATAATGTAGATAAATCGAAATTACTTCGAGTGATCTATCGTATACTTCTATCGTTTCCCAACGGAGTTCAATCCCGTCTCCTTTATATAGAAGAAGCCATAGGAATTCGTACATTTCACCCCAATTTATGTGTACAAAAGAAATTTGTAACCCCCTTATCCCTTCGATGGCCGGACATAACAAATGACATTATTATTATTATTAAATTTTATTTTTAATTTTGTTATCATTTGTTTGTAATTTTCCGTCTCTTTCCGTTTGTATTCTTCACTATCTAATTATTTACACATTTCTTATTACGTAATCATTTTAATGTTTTGTGATGACTATTCTAAGTCTATTTACCCACGTTGGACCTCTTATTTCCAATGTTTAACTATTGATAAGACTTTTGTTATCGTCATTTAACATTTTTACTACTATCAGTACACCTGTCTTCCCATTATCAACTTGTACTTTTAACTATTGTGCATGGTGACGAATTCTATTTCATTATGATTATTGACTCAGATTGCCTTGATTGGTTTAACATTTTCGTATAAATATTCATGTATATATCAGAGTAAAGCCTGATGACGATCTAATTGAAGACGATTGTTCGCTTACATGTATTGCTATAAAACTCAGTCATGACAAAAATATTTAATAAATTGTTGTCTATAAATTTCAACTGGAAACTTTTATCTACACCATAAGTCGTTTTGCTGTTATTTTTTAAACAAAAACAACAACGTTGTTAGGTACAATGACAATGATAATACGATAGTTTTAATGTAAATGCTTTGAAGTAGACTTATTTTATTCAGATCATAAAAGATATAAGCATAACAGAAATTAACTTTAGTTAAATTAGTATAATATCCACAAAAAACTCCTGATATTATTCACCATATGCTCGATAGTGACTGGCTTCAAGAGGTATTTCTTGGAGTTATAGTGAAAAGCAGTGACCAGTGGAGTTCAACCAGGTTTATTGTGAGATAGTAACTCATTGAAGACAGTTGTGGATGTGTTGCTCAATTTCGTGAATTGTTTGAAGTTAGATATTAACACCGTTGGATGTTGGCCGGCTCAGTGGTCTAGAGGTTAAGCGTTCGCGTTCGAGAGTGATAGGTCCTGGGTTCGAATCTTACGAGGTGGGATCGTAGATGCACAGTACTGAGGAGTTTCATATTACAATGTAACGACCGTCCAGTGATTACAGGTTTTCCATGGTGGTCTAGCTTTAAGTGATTCATAAATTCGACTATTAAAAAGAACTATCTATAAAGTATAGTCTTCACTTAAAAAGGAATAAACCTCGAATTCTCCACGAATTAGTTAGTAATGAGTAAAGTAAGTTAATAATTTTCACGGTAAGGATCCATAATAGTGATTGTCAGATGATTGTTTATAAAAATGTAAAAAGTGTAATACTTAATTATACGTAATAAAATGCAAAGATACTTGGGAAGGAAAACTGACAAAAATGTATAAGATAATAAAAATAATCCCTTTTTTTATATTTACAGTTGAAGAGTATTATTTTTTAAATAGGCTTTTAGTTTGGAAATTTATTTACTTACTTATGAACATTGGAATCTAACGTTTTCGTTAGTTTTCATTTAATACTAAATAACGAAATGATTATTCATTAGAAAAACCTATGTGTTCATTGAATTTCTGTAAGTACCAAGAATGACCAACTTTATAGAACATATATCTATAAACTTAATCATATTTTATAGGAAAGGACTAATTAGTAATGTAGTATGAACGGATTTTACACAAATAAAAACTCTAACCATGGCTTCGATGGGTTATTGCCTATCAGTTGAAAAAACTATGACATACAAACTCATCCTAATGGCTACAGTTTGTCTATATTCTTCAACTCTTAAAATAAATTCAACGGATTTATAGTTCTCACATTGTTCCTCGTTGGTGTTAGATATTTTATACCAGAGCTAGGGAATTAGAGATAGAGTATTCCTCCCGAATTGATATCGGTTTTAACGTAATTATACTGTGTCATATGGATAAATAGATTTCACTCAAAAATTACAAGAGGCGTTACTTGGTTGGTGTGTCTATAGTATATAGTGCCACCAACTTAACGATTGTTTCATAACTAAGGGTTTCAGTTTATGAATTGGGGATAGAGTACATTTGCCAGTTGTACACAATTAAATTAGACAGAATTGCTCATTCAGTACACATAACCACATCATTTTTACTTTTCGGTTACAATAATAATGTTTTCCAAATTTTTTAAGTTGTAAACGGTATACAAAGGTATTTCTACTTATCTTTATACGTGATACTTCAATTTCACGCGAAAACCTTAAAGTCGTGATCTCCATTCTAATTAACGCATTCTTAAAGTATTCATTCAATATATATTCTAGGAGACATTTAGGTGTGTTTTTTGAATTGAGATAATTTATGTATTCTATCAATTTGTATTTTCAGATTTTGTAAACTTTATTTACTTGTTCAAAGATTTTCGTCCTCATTACATTTATGAAGTCAGTATTGATCAGAATGTGTTGGTAATAAGCAACCTTCTAATTCTAGAAAACAAATTAAAGTCACTTTGTGGTACGTCGGAACATTTGAACTTCAAAATGTTCTGTCATCCATGATATTTAGATGACCTACAACTCAATTGATTTCACGTCCTCAAAGACATATATTTAGGTATCTTTTCGAAACTAATAAATACATAATCGGGTAACATGAAATTCTCTTTCGAGCATGAAAATGAACATTATGAAATATTACATCCAAACGGCTTAGCTAGGAAATTTTTTAAAATAGAACTCCTAATCCGATCGATACACTGGGACCTGTACATAGACTATAATCCCACACATTCATTCAGCCCTGAAATTTCACTTGTACTATATTTATTCAAAAGAGCTACTAAACGCGTTGCATTAATCTTTTAACGAAAGAAAGACAAAAATACAACAGATATTTTAAAGTTTAATAAATGGCAATTCGTTATTGATGGAAAAATTGAATAAAAGATTATGGTTGGTACTTTAGTTTCGTATTCGTGCTATAGTATCACAGAAGGACAACAAAAAATTCTCTAAAAGCCAACATAGAGTTAAAGCACTCTATGGAAAAACAAGAACTCTTGTAGACGTTTTAATTTGAATAGTGGGAAAAATCCTATTTCTGCATATACACAGAATTGAATCTACAAAATACGTTGTTTGTAATAGAACTTCGTTAATAATAAAGAGCATTGTTGTATAATTGTGACAAGTTCATAGGTACGCCTAAGCTACACAAAAATTTAGCTTAAAAAATCTTGTAGAATTCGGTATTTTACTAATCAAATGGACAACACCAAAAATGTTGTATTCAATAATCAATAAATCAATATTAAAAATAAAAAAGAAACTTTATTCAGCTACAAAAATGTAAGTAACTTTGAAAATTATCATATTTAAATGAAAATAAATTCACTTGATATTGTTTACTTGAATGTTCCCATTGATGTTCAACGCTGCAATTGATCAGTGTGTTGTTGACATATGTGCATACTGTGCGGATTGTCCAGATATTACTTTAATTCACAAGTATTATAAGTAAAGATGAATGGTACCTAGCATTAGAGTCCAGGACATGCGTTTCATCCTATACCAAATGAATTTAAACTTCATCGTATTGCACAAGCAAGTTAGTATCAGCACTAAGTAGCTAAATGTAGAATGCGATGACGTTTGAAGCGAACGGTATTAGGTTCGAGTCCCAGAAGTATGTGATGTGGGGACATCTAGATGACGACTCCCACGTGGGACAAAACGCGCATCCTGGATTCCACTACTAGCCACTATCCATCTTTGCTTTAAATGAAAGTAATCTAGAAAATTTATAAATAATGGTTATAAGTTATTTTTGATGATAAACATTAATGTAATATTTAAAATAAATAGATGATATCATAGAAATGTATTCACTGAAGTGATATTTGTAATATTACATGAAAGATTTCTGCAAAATACATTTTCTTTATGTTCTATAAAACATGTTGACTATAAGTAGCCCAAACGTCATGTCCATTATTTGATTTTCAAAAACTATTTCTTTTTTTTCAAAAAAAACAAATTATTGTGTAACTTACAGACTAGACAAAATTATGTTATGTGTATACAATTTGATCTACTGAACGTATGGTTGAATTTTTTTTACCGGACTATTAATTCATTAGGCAAAATAACTTTATCCGATAAATATATAGCCAAAGGGGTTCTTCTGGATATTATAGTAATTTTAAATAGTTGAGATCATTACTCGATTGAAGCTAGACCACTATGGACGAAACAACCGTCCAAATGCTTCCAGGTTTTCCACGGTGATCTAGCTTCAATTGATTCAGGATCTCAACTATTAAAATGTATATCCATTTAAACATTTTTTTTACTTTTTACATTTAAATATGTAAAATGTAGTTCAAATTGTTATATTCAATTTTATCAGTAATCTCAATTCATTAAATAACTATCTATGATAGGAAAAGATAGATAGTGGCTAGCAGTGGAATCCAGGACGCGCGACTCGTCCTACTTGAGACTCGTCAGCTGGATGTGCCTGCACCTCAGAGTTGAAGTTCACTCTGGCAATCGAACCCATTATCTTTCGCTTCAAACGCCATCGCGTTATCCACTCATCCATCTTTTTTTATAATGCATGTGAATTGAGGCTATATCGAGGGAATACGCACAGTATGTACATATGCCAATTAGAGACTGACCAGTTGCAGTCCTAAACATCAATGGGAAGATATATTCAAACAAACAATACTACGTATACTATCTATGATAGTTTAAGGATTAAAAGTTAATTCACTTATAATCAGTTAGTTGC